AGTTCCTATCAGTTCCACATCAGAAATCATGGCAACCCCCGTTTTCTTCCACCTGATCGAGAGCTTCTTTCAGCAGCAAAAAATGTCTTCAACAGACCGCCGGTTAATTATCAACCTACGGTGCAGTTTGAAAAAGGGGAAACTATAAACCCGTACCCAGTAAGCGGTCTTCCGAATTCACATGGTATGGCTCCGGGGAATTCTTCCTCTACATCGTGTCAGCCATGCACATGTAGACATGCGTGTTTTCGGCGTAACTGACGCACTCATCTGAGGTAGAATATGACAACACAGCTGAGCCCGAGGATCATGGCATCTCACATAACTTGAGGGATGTCGGGCAGTATGCAGCAACTTCACCCCCTGACCAGCACGACGTAAGTGACCATGTCGCTAGTTTATCAAGTAGCTCTTTTTTAAATAAAAACTACAGTCTATTGCCATAATTTTAACCGTATGCGTAGTGCGAATAAAATAAATGAAATTCAAAATAAAATAAGCGGCTGCACATATGATATAATTGGAACAGAAACTATTTGGTCTGAAAGTATTAATAGCGAAGAGGTCTTTGGTAGTAAATTCAGTGTGTTTCGATGTGACCGCGATTTATCATTATCAGGTAAAAAATCAGGTGGTGGTGTACTTATTGCTGTGAATGCTACATTTCAAGCTGCTTTGTTAGTGAAAAACATAAAGAATTTGAAGATGTGTGGATTAAAATTTTAATAAATGGTGAAGAACATCTTTTCGCTTCTGTCTACTTTCATCCACACTTTTCCAAAAAACCAGCTTAAGAAAAGTTTTTCACTATTGCAGAACTGAAAATTCAAAGAGAAGATCCAAGAACCAAAATTCATATTTATGGAGATTTTAACCAGAATACTGTTAATTTTATTCAGGATAGTGATAATGATTCTCTGCTGTTACCAATTGTAGGTGAAAACGATACTTTGCAATTCATTTTTGATAAAATCAGCCACTTAGGACTTCATCAAATTAACCATGTTCGTAACCAGCTCAATTCATATTTGGATTTTATGTTTACTAATTGTACAGAAGATTTTTGTATTGTAGAAGCAGCTGTTCCATTATGGAAGAATGAAAAATTTCATACGGCTATTGAATACTCAGTGTTCACATACTCGCATAGGTCACGCCTAAGCGTTATTGATTTTGAATTAGTTTATGATTTTAAAAATGCAATTGTTCCTGAATTTCACAGCAGACTGAATAACATAAATTGGCAAAACCTTTTAAAAGATGAAAATAATATGGACAGGCTGTTAACATATTTTATACTAACTTATACAATATTATTTAAGTATTCGTTCCTAAAAGACTAAGAGAACAGTGAACAGCACCAAATATCCTGTGTGGTATACACAAGAAATCATAAATATTATAAACAGGAAGCAAAAAGCACACTAGTCGCAAAAGCAAACACGTTGTTATTTGCAGATATCTTGAGGCAGAAATATGGTCAGCATATGCGAATTACAATTCAAGATTAGAGAACAATATAAAATCTGATCCTAAACGTTCTTTAACTTCGCGAACGAAAAAATGAAGTCATGTACATTCCCATCACGCATGCAGTTTGAAGAGTTTGATAGCACTGATAGTGAGGATATTTGTAACCAATCCCAACAAACATTGAATGTTGAATAAGAGCTTATTCAGGCAAAAACAAGCTTCTTCAGCTAAAAAATAGCTTGTTCAGCTGTTGATCAACTCAAATTGTTTGTTGGGATTTGCTCGCTTTTTCCAAAACATATATAAGAAATCCAGTAATGCTCTCGATTTGAACTATTTTTCTTACCTACATGAAGGGGAAAATGACGTATCAGTTAATAATCACTGTTCAAGTAATTTTTATGACTCTTGAAAGTCTCGATGCCGGCAAAGACCTGGTCCTGATGAAATACCTCCATTTTTATTGAAAAAATTAGCAACTAGTGTTGTTAAACCATTGTTTTGGCTCTACAATTTATCTCTCATAACAGATGATTTTCCAAAAATTTGAAAGATATCATTTTTAGTCCTAATATTTATATCTGGCAAACGGTCAGACATTAAAAACTATAGAGGTATTGCAATTATGTCATGCATTCCTAAAATGTTTGAAGCAATTGTTAACAAAAAATATTTAACCAGGTTAAGCATCGCATTTCAAATAATCAACATGGTTTTTTTGAAGGTCGGTCAACGTCTACTAATCTTTTGGAATTTGTAAACTTTTCTGTTGAAACCTTATACACTGATTTTAGTAAGGCCTTTGACAGAGTAGACATTCCCTTACTTCTTTTTAAATTAAAACGTTTAGGTATGATAAGTACACTTTTTTAATGGATTGGATCATACTTGACAGAAAGAACACAGATGGTCCGCTTTAAAGGAAAAATATCTTCGCCAGGAGATCCACAGGGATCTCATTTAGGTCCTTTATTATTTATTTTATTTGTGGATGACGTAAAGTTTGTGTTAAATCGTTTAAATGTGCTCATATATGCTGACGATATGAAACTGTACATGGAAATCTTTAACAATTCTGATTAGCTACATTTTCAAAATGAAATTGATGTTTTCTACAATTGGTGCTGGACATTAATGTTAAAAAATGCAATATTATATCTTATTCCAGAAAACACACTACTCTAGATTTTACATGTACTCTAGGAAACCAGCTAGTTGTAAGGTGCGATAAAATTAGGGACTTACGAGTCATTCTTGACTCGAAGTTGACATTTGTAGATCATGTGAACACCACAAATTCACAAAGCAAATAATATGTTGGGATTCAAAAAAAAAAGATTTAGTTATCATTTTAAAGATCCATATACCATCAAAACACTTTATATAGCTTACGTGAGATCAATTCTCGAATATTGCAGTGTGGTTTGGGCTCCATATCATGAAACTTATATAAATGGTATAGAATCAGTTCAAAAACAGTTTTTGTTATTTGCTCTTAGGAAACTAGGCTGGACCTCTTTTCCCCTTCCTTCTCATGAGTCACGTTACATGTTGATAAACATTGAAACACTTAAGAAACGAAGAGAAATTTCCATGATTTCCTTTGTTAATGATATTATCTCACAACGCGGTATATTCAGAAAAATATTAGCAAGCTTAAATTGTTACGTACCATCACGCATATTAAGAACTCGAAATGTATTTCAACTGTCACCTCACAGAACGAATTATGATAAAAATGGACCAATCAATAGAATGATGAGAGTTTATAATAATTATTGTGAGCGTATAGATCTAACGATGTCTAAAGATACAGTACATACATACACTAACTGCTATGCTTTCATCTCGTTAAGTTTAAAACAATTTTTATTTCTTAGATAGTTGTATATGTAATTTACATTTATTGACAATTTCAAATAAAATGTTTGAATTAAAATAGCATGTAAGGCAACAGAACTATTGTAAAACGGTCTACACTGATTGACGACAAATAAATAAATTAAATAAATCTAGATAGAGCTGGAATTAGGGCGTAACAGCCTTTGTAAACAATGACTTCTCTCGATGATTTCTAGGAATTCAAGGCACGCCTACATAAAGCAACATATCCATCGAGTAGGGGAAGTCTTACCCTACTCGATGATGATGTCTATTTGCCAGGGAGAGCCATGGCTTTCAAGAAATCATCGAGAGAAGTCATTGTTTACAAAAGCTGTTTCGCCCTAATTCCATCTCTATCTAGAAATATGCTTAAACGAACGGTGGCCCATCTCGCCCCATATGGTCTTCATGCCCCCATCCCCCCTATAGGAAATCATCATCGTTGCAAATATAAAGAAATTAAACAGAACCCTTTGCTTCAGTACCGTCAACCTCCATGTCCATGGGGAGGGGATTTTCCAGCATTCTAGATGTTTCTAGATTTTATATTCTAACTGGCAACGCTGATGACGATGATACAAAAAAATATGCACCGTCATGCTCGTACAGTGCGTGCGATGAGAAGACAAATCAAAGAAGGGATTTCTCGCGTCACTTTTCAAATAGACCAATGTAACATATCCACCATTTTGAGAAAATCGAAGTTGAAGTTCGACAGATTATTATTTTAACTGTTTAAAAACAATACATTTTGCACTACTATTTTCAATGTAGTCAGTGTATAATAACGTTGAAAATTCAGAAGAAACGGTAAAATCACAATTTTACTTTGAATTTCATGCTACAACATAGAAAAAAACCACATAGGACGTTTTGACAAGTCGAGTTGTACATCGGACATATTACATTGGACGATTTTTCTCAGTGACATAATCAAACAGTGTTACATTGGACGTTTTGTCTACATGATACTAGATTCCCTTTAACAGATTTCAGAGTATAGTACCTAACTTTAGATTGGCCCCGCCTTTGGAAAATGAGCACCAATCATGTTAGGCAGTCCGAATGACCGAAGTAACAATCATATATCCATCATTTCAAACTGTACATTGGACAATTTTTGATCAATGATTATCTTAAATAAATGAAAATAAATTTGGATGGATGTTTTTGTATCACATACAATGACAGAAGAGCAATAGTTTGAAATCGCTCAACTCGATTTGTTTACATTTGTTACATTGGTCTATTTGAAAAGTGTCGCGAGATTTGTAAACCGTTTACCCGCGGTTGACTCGGGGTTAGTAGTAGTGGTGCTACAAACATTGCAGAAGGACAGGGAAACACAGTAATTTCACCCATATTTTGGGCATCTGGGGTCAAACGGTCATGGCAACAAAAACATGAAGGACTCGAGAAAACAATAGCGATTTTTCAGAAAACGTTCGCAACGGGCGCGAACATACAGAGCTGGCACTCTATTCCGATACGTACAAGCTGTAACATGTTTTCATTTTTACTCCGTCGTCACACTTATAGTTCCTCTTATTTATTAATCGTTATCATTACATAAAAGTAATACGCAGTACAAGCATGGGAAAAATATAATGAGGATTTCGGCATGATCAATATAGATTGTTGCGATAGAAAATAATTGTTATTATCAACGTTTTTCTTTTTCAGATTCACAAAAGTAATATCTAAACTCTTTTAGGTGAGCTAACCGTTGCGTAATCCAGCCGATGAATTTCATCCGGTTCATCGTGTTTGAAAAGGTGAGTCGATGTGGAACAAACACCTGAAGACGAGTTCTGGCTTTGCAGGCTTGGTTTTCGTATCATTCCGTAGCCAAGATAGCTGTCATCCGCTTTTCTACAGGCTGATGTATCCGGAGGTACCATTGTTATTTGATTGACATTATTGTCGAAACTTTCGAGTAACGTGCTGCCATAGTTGCGACAATTTGTTAATCTTGCATTAGGATCTCCAATTATTTCATAATCGTCCAATGAACTAGAGCTCTGATGCATAAGAGTCGCCGACTGTTTATTGTTATTGGTTATTGGCACAACAGTTGTGTAACCTAAACTTACCTTATGAGTTGTACGGAAAAAGTCTAAAGTATCGTAATTGTCGTCAATTGTATTTGTGACAATTAAATCCTCTCCAACTGTACTACTTTCATGCCGGTATTTTGATTTCAGTTCTCGTGATGATTGCGATCTTTCTCGAACGAACCCAGATAGTTCGTCGTCTTCTGTAGGCATATTTTCCGTATGACTTACATCGTCAATGCCAAGCTTTTTCCAAGCTTCAGTAATGTCTTCCACACATTCATAATCACGGTTATAAGGTAATGGCACAGGGTGTTTGCAATTTACAACCTCTGGTGTTCCAGGAGAATCATGATGACTTTTTATGAATACTGATGATACGTTTGAATTTGTAGAATGGCTTCGTTGATCTGATGTAGTTGTTTTGTTGGATATTTGATGGCTTAATACGGATGGTACGATCTTGCGTGGAGGTTTATTGGGAATGCAATTCTTATTAACTCCTGGAGAATTACCTACTTCGGATGAAAGGAGAATAGACCGGAATGGATTCTGACTGTTTCCATCGATGAATGATCCTTGAGGCGTCGGTGGTAAGGGACTTCTCGATCCTGGTTCTAATGATGAAAAGACTGAACTAAATGTATTCGACATGCTGTTAGCGCTAATGTTGAAGCTATCATTATTGATATTCTTCTTCATCGATTTCATTTTTGTCGACATACATCGAAAAATTTCCTGTGGATTAGCGTTGTCCAATTTAAATGTTCCCTCACCAGTATCACATTTCCGTCCAGCTTCAAATGTGAATTTTCCATCACGATATCCATATTTCCTTATAAATCTATACGGCCACTTGGCAATTATGTTATATTCGTCTTCGTAGCACTTCAGTTGAATTTCCGTTCCGGATAACATAAGCGTATACATTTTGGGTTCTAACCCACATTTCACAGATGCATCCGTTGGAATAAGCGTTACGGTGAAAATTCCTTCACTGTATGACGAGCAATATAGATCGTTGTCTTCTTCGATAATAGCATTCTGAGATAGGACACAACTTGTAGATTGATTTTCTTTAAATGCAACCGATTGTAATGCAATTTTCCACTGTTTTGCAGTTGCTTCATTGATGGATTGTAATTGTATCTGTCCAGTTTTTGTGACAATATTGATAATATTTGTTGGGGGTTGATCAAGGACGATTTTGACACAGTTTTCCAGTGTCACAATTCTTGTATTCTTGTCGCTATCGCTGTCGCTAATTTCCAGTCGTTCAATACCATTACGACTAGCTTTAAAAAGTTGGCAGTATTTTGGCTGTAAAAGAAGAAGGAATATAATTACTGCACTAGTAGAAATAGAAAATTTCTATAAAATATTAAGTATAATATTCATTTGACCACACATAACTAGATATCACGGAACAAAACACATAAAGATTATATGTAATATAAACAGTATGTGTGATCACATATAGAGATTATATGTGCAAGTGAGAATTATGTGTCTGGCACAGTGAATCCAAACACTTAAAGCAACCAACGATACAGACAAAACGTTTGCTTCGACTACCATGACAAACTCTCTCTGCAACACAGCTCGATCGGAGTGGTAGAAGGATAATCATATAGAAGAAACAGCCCTATTGTTGCGGTATGTTTTTTTTTCTTTTTTTTTGTAAAAGTATTGTTTATTTCTGTGTTAAAACATTAATTTACACGTATTATTGTTCACAATCGATGTAAAAATTTAGGGCACTAACATCTATTCTATCGTCAACAGAATTAACATAGTCGATACAAAGATTTTCAAAATTTCGTTTCGTTTTCTTAGCCCTATGTTCAGAAGTTCTGGTCGAAGCAGATCCTCGATGGACAGCCTTTGCCAGCCGCCGAGTATCGTCGTAGTCCTCTGCTGTATGGAAGCCCATGCGTGCGCCACGCGGGGGCAGGCGCTGAGCTGTGCTGCAATGTTTCAACCGTAGCGTTGCAGTGCAAGCAGCTCTCGCCGTCTGCCCGTTGGATGATCTTCATCAACCTTCTATGCTCCGTCTTCTCGTTGATCAGCTGCTCCGATGGCTTGATGACAGTTGTTTCGACCCGATATTCGTCCATATATGTCTCCAGTTTTAACCAGGATATTTTCTCTCGACCCGTGGTGTATCTGTCCGCTCCAGAAGAACACGATGAATTTGGTCGGTGGAGGGTTGTTCTCGGATAAGTGAGGGGAGAAGTGGAATATGTTGAGCTAATATTTTAAGGCTAACGGCGCCGGTGGTGTAGTGGTAAGCGTGATTACCTCTCACCCCAGCAGGCCTGGGTTCAATACCAGTCGGCGCCGCCGGGATGTTCTGAGGCATAACATCTCTGATCACGCCTTCCTTCGGATGGGAAGTAAAGCCGTTGGTCCCCGGTTCATGAGTTGATGGGTCGATAGGTAGGGTCCAGGTGTGGGAGCTGCCTTCCTGGCACGTCGGTAGCATTGGTGCTCAGCACGGTAAACAAGATCGACGGAAAAAAACAAACCAAAGGAAAAAAAATATTTTAAGGCAAGAAAGATCTGCGGGAGGAGGAATTGCTTGGTTCAGAAGGGACTGATAGTAGGGAAGGGAGCCACTATCCTGTAAGTGACGGTTTACCTGAAGCGCTTTGCATTTGAGTGCCGGTAGCTGCAACTTTAGTCCGCCAGATGCTTTGTCTCGTGCCAATTGTTCCATAGGAACCCGCGCCGGTTGGCTGCGCCACAAGAAGGAACCCATGATTTTCGCTGTGTGGACACAATATGGTGGAAGGATTGATGCCACGTACCAAATCCTTGCCGTGATATAGGTATTTAGGAAAATAACCTTCTGTTGAAGGTTAAGTCCCCTCATCGAGTGCAGCCACAAATGTTGAGCAAATTTGGTAACTTGAGCATCCCAATTAATCTTAGTCATTGCGCGGATTGAGTTAGTGAAATAAATGCCAAGAATCTTCACCGTTTCTACTGTTTGCAACCATGGCACATTCAGTGGATCTCCATCAATGAGCCCGACGTTGATTGCAACAGTTTTCAATCTATTGAACTTTGCGCCGGCGGCACGTTCAAAACGTCCGAACAGGTCATTGATGCGCTCAATCACGCGTGTATTGGTAACTATAACGGACACATCATCTGCGTAAGCCACCACGAGATCGGGGCCGACGAGTCGCTCCAATTGTTGCAGAAACGGATGGAGGTAGATGACGAACAGTATCATAGACAAAGGGTTCCCCTGGCGAACCGAACGTTCGATGGTAAAGCTCTGCGAGAGATGCCCGTTGACCAGCAGGCGAGACGGAGATTGTCCGGCAATACGAGCCAGTAAACCGACGAAGGCTGGGTTTATCCCCAACTGCCGCATCGTTCCATAGAGAAATGAGTGGGACACTCGATCGAAAGCGTGATCGAGATCGTAGCTTATTAGTTTCCCTCTCCGCTTCCTCGCTATCAGCTCTGCAATGCGATCCTTCAGAGAAAGAGTTGCTTGAAAAATTGAGTGCCCTTCGTTAGAGCACTTCTGCGCATCGCTCAAAACCGGGTACGACCTCAACACAATCTCCAAACGAGATTTGAGTATACGGCTGAGGATTTTGTAGTCTGCGTTTAGAAGGCTGATCGGTCGGTATCCTCGTGCCGTGTTTACAGTTCCTCTCTTTCGTACAAGCACGATCACTCCGGTGACAAACTCAGCGGGGAGCTCCGTGGTCATAGCTTCGTTTAAAACGAGATTTAACTCTCGGTGGATGACATCGAACGTACGTTGGTACAATTCGACCCTTTTAGCCGATGTGCGAATAGATGAAATTATTTCTTCTGTTGTTAATTCAGCCATACACGCCTCGTTTCGCTCGTCGCTTTCTGGAATCACTCGTTCGCAGTGGAAAGAAGATTGTGCCTCCTCGCTCTCGTCAGACGCTGTGTAAAGCTCCCAGAAGTAGTTTAGCAGGTGGTTTTCAATTGTTTCGGAGCTGTTAAAGAGTCTCGCCGTTCTCGATACCCAGCTCTGTTATGACGGTTTTTTTCCTTCGCCTCTCGCCAAGCTGGAACGTGCTGATATTTTCCCCTGCGATGAATGTATCGTTGATACGCATAAAGTGCTGGGAAAACATTCTCTGGTGAATAAGCATCTGCGCTTTCACACGGTTGATCGTAGCCAACATCGTTGGATTTTGGTAATAGTTGTCATATGCTTGCCGAAGCTGCGAATACAAACGTTGGTGTTCAGCATGAAATTCCCTGTACACCTCGCGAGATTTCCACCGAAAAAAAGAAAGAATTTTCGGTTTAGCGCATGATATCCATCACGTTATCCAGTTTGGAAAGTTCCGTCGCTGTTGGGTTACATACTGCCATCTAATCTGGAACTCTTCGATGTTCTCTACAGTGAGAATATGGGGACGAAGGGACCAGTAACCGCGGCCAGGTTCGCGTCCGAGGCTAGGGAGGCATATTCTTGCGGTAAGCGCTTTGTGGTTCGTAAAAGAGCATACATGCGTGGCTGCACTCCGGAGATACGTGCATAGACCATTGCTGACGTATATGCGGTCGAGCCTCGAGACCGAGTTGTGCGTTACGTATGTGGAGGAGGGTACAACTTAACCCAAACATCGTTGAGTTGTAGCTGCTGTACCGTGGCCTGGAGAGCGGGGCTGCTGTTGAAGCCCGACGAGTCACATGATCGTAGCACACAGTTAAAATCTCCGGCAAGTATTAGATGTTCGGTGTTGTGCCGAAGATAAAAGGCGACGGTATTATTGAAAAAGCGTTCTCGCTCGGCACGCATTGCTGTTCCGGACGGTGCATATACGTTTGCCAATGTGGAGTTATCAACCCGCAGAGCAACGAGCCTGCCATCCAAGCTCTTTTCTACATGGGAAAACCGAATGTATTCTTTTAGCGCTATTGCAGTCCCCTTCTCGAATGATCGACATTTGCGACAACGTTATAGCCAGGAATCGAGAGCTGCTCGTTCTCTACTTCTTGCAGAAACACGATGTCAAGCTCCATCGTTCTGATAAAAGTTCGGAAGGCGTTGAGTTTTGTTTCGTTGGTGATCGTGTTTATATTGATAGTAGCGATGTTGTAGCTGGCGATTCGATTCACGATTGGTTTTCCAGATCCCGCTCGTCATCGATACCATCTCGTCGCTTTCTGGTTCTAGGGCGTCCTCTAGAGTTTGTGCTGGCATTGCCGAGCCGTCTGTCTCGTTGCCATCGGACTTTCCACCATCAGGCTTTTGGCTCCGTGGCTTCGCATTTGGTTTGGTTGGTGTTGGTGCAGGCTGCTTTGTCGCATCAAAATACGACTTCTGCACTAGCAGCTTTTTCTTCTGCACGCAGGTGGCGCCGATGTGGCTGAAATCCCGGCAGTGTCGGCAAGTTTGACGTTGACCAAAATAGGATAGCAACGTCGATTCCCCGTCGATAGTGACCCACGACTCGATGTTGTGTTTCACGATCATCTTGGCAATCCGAACACCAGTGGAAATGCCCGGAAAGTACAAATCACCTCCGAACATGTGTTCGCGAACTGAGATGACGTCACCGTACGCGGACAGGAATTTAATGATGGCTTCGTCCGATACGTCCTCAGACAGATCGTACAGCTTCACCTCCACTGCCCCGTCTTCCATGGTTATTCGCAGGGGAACCGTCTTCCCGTAACCCACTTGCACTTCGTGTTTTCCGTCGTGTTCTTCGCACACTGCCAGCTCCAGGTCAACGACCTTCACGAAGGCACACCCGAGACTTCTGCTACACTGTATTCTCAGCACTTCAGCGGGCTTTAATCCCAACATGGTTCCAACAAAGTTTTGCACTTTTGCATAGCCGGTTTTTTCGGCAACATCGCATAATCTAGCGCTCACTGTACGCAGCGTTAGAAGTCTATTGTTGTGTATGGAGACCTCCATACACAACAACAGGCTTCTAACGCTGTTAACGTACCGCAACAATAGGGCTGTTTCCCCTATTGCTTGTTGCAATATACATGGTTGAGGACATAGCTTGATCGGAATCGAGAAAATACATAACAAACAAATTCCCATTAACACACGTGTATCATCTTCGTGAACCAGCTTGGCAGCAATTTGCCCGAGCGAGCTGTGTTGCAGAAATAGTTTGTCATGAAAAAGAAGGAAGAAGATTATATCATTATTGCTTTCCATTTCTGACATAGCATTATCATTCGACTCGTTGATCGCTTGTCATTTTGTCATTTGGAGGTATTTTTGATTCGTTGGTCTGCCATATGCCATGAATATAATTGCAAAAATCTATGTGTGGAACACATAAAAA